AATCACAGTCAACATTCTGAGTCACGCCCGGCTAAAAACGTGGTATAAAAAGCGAGGAGGGCACCGGAAGCGGGATGCTAGGAGCAATGTGGGGACAGGACTCCTCCGCGGGGAGGCTGCTCCGGTGAGGCACCCGCCCGTTCCCCTGCCCGCCCGCCCGGTGCTGCCGCTTCCCCGCGCCCCGACCGGCGCCGCCGGGGGAGCCGCGGGGCGGAGGAGCCGGGCGGGCCGGGGCGGGCCGGGCGCTGCCCGGGACCGCCGAGCTCGCCGTCCCGGCCGCTGCTGCCCTGCTCACCGCACTCACCTCATTACCGAGTCAGCAGAGCTGCTTTAATGGACTTGTGTGGAAAGGCGGTTTTACGCTCTATAAACGTTGGGTCCAAGCATTTACTAATTAAACTCCTTCTATTTAGAAACACCTGCGTTTTAAGAAAGCTTTCTGAACGCTAACACTGGCTGAATTTCCAACCTGCTGCAGTCCGAGCTTTTCATGCCTAACCTATACATCGTAACAGCACTGGAAAGCATGTGAACCAAGAGGTAAAATCGTACAATGCTCCTCGCACAATGTTCTTCAGACTTTCATACCAAGGCAGAAAACAAATCTATGATGCTGTTGAATAATCTCCCAATAATTGTAGTAATTAAAATCATCATCCAGTCTGCAGTCACCTTCCTTCCTTTGACACTAGTCTTCCCTGGAATTGTTAACGTGTCTCCGGCTGAGATAAACAGAACAAGGGAGCTTTAAAATTCACAGTCCAAATAAATTTAGCGGAAGAGAATTAATTCCAAAGCCACGCTTTTGAGTGCGTTCCGTAAACGACAGGCTTTCTGAAACTATTGTGCAGATTTTTTAAACACAGGGTAATATGGGTCTCCCTGCTACTCCTAAACAGCGTCACCTTAAAGATCGAGAAAATATGAAAGCCCAGCCTGACGCTCCACCTCGGGGCTCAGTGTGCAGGGGGCAGGAGGAGAGGGGAGTGCGCCATGTAACAAACATCATATGAAAGAGCAAGCAGAAATTGTGGGAGAGTGCCGTAATTTTCATTTAATTTCCATTATCTATTTGATCCCGGTGCTCATTCCCTTTTTATTAACTATAAAAGATTTCCTTCTAATCAAAAGCTGCACTTCATCTTTACCCACAAATGAAAAACTCCATAGCAGAAAGAATTCAGTGGACTCAACAGGCACCAAGGTCTGTATTTTAACACTATCTCTATTTATACTTCCCCCTTGTAGTACCTAGTCTTGGGCAGAATAGCAGGGAAGCCTTTTCCTAACTGAAGTTATTAATTTATCACCAGGTACCCCTCTGAGTTGCTCTGATAATCAATGCTGGCTTCTAGATCACGTAAATGAAGAGTGTAATTGAGGGGGGGAGGGGGTTTCGCACGGAAGAACTGTTGCTAAAAAAAAAAAAAATCTGGCAGGACGCAATTATTTATCTCGGCAGTGAGCAGTTTGCCTGTTTCCTGCCCATGTCCCTTCTGTTTGGCAGAAAATTAGCCTGCTTCTCTTAAACTTGGAAGGGTTTGCCCCCTTCCTACCCATAACTGCCACGGGTAAAACTCCGTGCCCCTCCTAGAATGCAGGGGAAATTGTACAGCAACCTTACATTTAACTGCTGCTAAATCGATTTATTTGGAAAATATTTGGCAGCTCTTTCCCAGAGCTCTTTTTGAACAGACGAGCCATTTCATCTGATGCTCTTGAATATAAACCCAGGAGCTTCCCAACCATCTGTAATGAAAGAATTGTTTCCCAGCTCTACCTCCTAAAGACAGCAACTTTAGTAGTTGCACAGATCAAAAGACACTCGTAGAGAGAAGATGGGAAACAATATTGTTCAAAGAAAGTGAACTGTTGCATTTAATTAGGCTATTCCTTATTAGTATTCATATTGAGATTTTTATTTTTTTTTTAGATTTACGTTGATTTAACTGTAATGTATTTATGATGTAAATATATTCTGAGATGAAAACGTCACGGATCAATTGTAAAGGACCCGGATACATAATTTTTAAAAATCAGTTTCAGTTTATATGAGGTTCTCACCCCACTTTCGCTTCTTAGTCAGATTTGTTTATGCAGAATCGACATTTAATAGTGCTAATTGCACTCCAGTTAAATTGCCCTGATTGCAGAAAGGGAAGCAATTTTCGTGCTCTCTGTCTGGGTTTGGAAGAAATTGTTTTATATTCACCTCTTTATAAAGAAGTGGAGATAAGGCACCGAGCCTTTGCACAAATTGCACTTATGGGCTGACTGGCAGCATTCAGGCTCTATAATAGAGCATTATTTGGCCGTTTTGAATAATGTAAAGCATTTGCTGAAAGCTATTCTCCTGAAAATTGCTTTAACTTTTAAAAGGGTGATGATTCACTCCAAACCAGGCCTTTGTTACATTGTCATTATCCCCCCAAATGTTTTAACAGTCAGCTCAACACTTTAGCATAACACATTGATCTTTGTTTAAAAACTCGATTTTTGGAGTATGAAAAAAATCTGTCAGAAAATACTTGACCCCCTAAAGATTTTAGCAGCGTTCCCCCTTCCGCCGCCGTTCGCTCAGCCTTTCCACCGCCTGCCTCGTTCCTGCGGGTTTTAGTTACTTTTCCGACTACAAAGGGGCGAGGAGATGGATGTGCGGCAGGCAGAGCCGCCCGCCAGTCTTCAGGCACAGCAGAATCCCTACTTTGCTGTGGGAGCGCAAGCGGGCAGCGGATGCCTTTACTCGCTGATGTAGAGGCAACATTTTTAAACGTCACGCTCTCGATCTGCCTTCCAGCCGTATTTTATTGATGACTTTCCCCAGGATGAGAGGAAAGACCCTCTCCCCCCGCCGCCCTGGGGTTGGCCAGAAGCGCTGCGCTGCCACTTGACGACCACCATGGCAGGCTCCTGGGAAGGGAAGGAGCGGGTTTCCCCCGGAGAAAAGGAAGAGAGGAAGAAGGAAGGAGGGAAGGAAGGAGTCACCTGTTGGGCGATGGCTGCCGGGTGCCCCTGTCGGACTCCTCGCCTCACCCGTGGGGGTTATGTCGCTCCCCCCGCCACCGCCTTTCTGCCGCCTCCACCCGCCGAGCGCTACAGCCCCCCTGGGTACAGCCGCCGCTCAGGAGCTGCTCCGGGCAGACCTTTCGAGGGAAGGGTTTGCCATGCACTACCCGGACCCCTGCGCCGGCTGCGAGTCAGTGTGGAAAGAATTAAGCGCAGAACAGTATTTTTTTCACCTACTGCCCCGACTCTGTTTAATACCCGGCAAAAAGGCGAGCGCCCGTTGAAAATCGCCTTAGACGTTGAAATAAAAGATAATCTCCAGGGACATCCATGGCAGTCGTCCTATAGATTGTATAACACAATGTAGAAAAAACCGCAATGCCCACCTTATTTAAGCACACACACACACACACACGCACATATATATATATATATATATATATATATATATATAAATATGTGAAGAAAGGCGAAATCAATCTCAAATTCCCGGTTTCTCCATCTTGCTCCTAAGCGATGCCTATTTTGCATCTGCTACAAGGTTTTACACTGGATGGCTGAGGCGGCACCGAGAAGGAAATATTGACTGAAATGCAGAGCAAGGGCCCGGCATTGCTAAATGCACTCATCATACTTCTGGTTCAGAATTGTATTCAGCTGCACTGGAACGGCAAAAAGGAAGGGGAAAAGCTCCTATTCCCATTCTCACAGAGCCGACCGCGATGATGAAAAGTTGCACGCCTATTGATCTTCCGCGGGCACAGTACGGGCAAGTTCTAGCCAATTACTTAAGAAGCCTCCAATAATTACAAATCAAAGGGACTAGCTTGCAAGACATTGAGGAGCCGAGGTTTGGACTTACATTTTGCACATGCAGAGAGCAGGTATAGTCTCTGTCGCTCACTGGGTGCGTGGAGTGTGCACAGTGCAGAGGCCACAGGCAAGTGCTAGGGCGGCTTATTCCAGCAGCGCCCTAGCACTGCTAGGAGGGAGCAAGCTTTCTGCCATTAGCAGCACTGCTTCCACGGGAGTATATGAGGCTTGAAAAACGTGCTGCAGACTGCGAATTTGACTTTCAAAGTGTTTTGCTGGCGATTACTCTGCAAAATAACGTCCTCTATCTTAAGCGACAAGATGTCAAATGCCCCTCGTCCCCTCTCCCGCCCCGGTACAAGAGCAAAGAGATGCCAGGTGGTTCCCTGCCTTTGGAATTTTTTGGCACTTTATATAACCACAGAGCCTCCTCGGTTCTTTTTGCAATAAAAGTAAGAAATACGTTATGCACGAAATCACTTCTGGTATTTAGTAAAGAAAACAAAAAAAATTAACGCGTTTTCACATAATATCATTAGGCGCTGTTAGGTTATTTGTATCCAACACGGATGGCTCCCAAATGGCTTGAAAAGGAGGCAAAGGGCCTGTTGAATAAAAGCGACGCAGGTACGGTTTACGGGCCGCGAGGATGGCAGGTGACTACACCAGCAGCAGCGCATCGGACACCTCCTGCACAGTTTGCAGGAGACGGCGGAGCGGCGTCAGGCGTGACACCAGCCCTTCGCCGGCGCTGACCTCGCTCTCGACTCCTGCCCTCTGCGGCTCGCCCCGCTCCCGCGGCGTGCAGGCGGTGCGGGGGCGGCGGGAGTCGCGGCCCGGCGGGAGGCGCGGCCCGGGGCGCCGGGGCCGGCGGTAATTGCGGCGCGGCCGCCGCGGGCCGGAGCGGGGAGTTTTCTCCCCGCGCGCTGACTGGCACGCGCCCCGCGCCCCGGCGCCGGCACCTCCGCGCAGCCTGATTGGCTGCCGGGCCGCTCCGGGCCGCTCCGCCCGCGCCCTCATTGGGCGAGCGCCGCCGCCAGCGGTACTTCAAAGCGGGCGCTGCCCGCACTTAGGCAGAGTTTGGCCCCGCCGCGCCGGAGTGTCCTTAGTGCCGCCGGGCAGCGCGGGGCGCTCACCGAGCGCCGTCCCCTCCGCCCCACCGCCCAGCCCACGGACGTGCTATGGCTACGTCTATCCTCGGGGTAAGTCGCACCGCGCGCTTCCTCGCGGCTTCTCCCTGGAAAAACTGTCGTTGCCGCCGCGTTGTGGCTGGCCCTTGCCGAAATCGCGTGGACCCGCGGATGGGAGGTGATCCCGGCCCGCCTCGGGGGATTTCATTGCGGGCTGCCCATCGGGTCGTTCCCAAAGAGTTTAGCCTGAAAACTCGCTGGGCCGGAGAGAAGCTGTGCTGCTTCTGCTTTCTTTTGTCTAGTTCTTGATTTGGTTTGAGATTTTTGTTTGTTTGTTTGTTTGTTTTTTAACTCGAACTACGCTCGATTTCCAAAGATTTTCGCCGGCCCGGCGTTGCACGAGGCGACAGTCGGAAGGCTCCGCACCCTGCTCGCCTTGCTGCCATCTCTTTTTTTTTTTTTTTTCCGTCGCTCCTGTACGGTTGCTCGAGGAGACGCCGCATTTCGTTCCCACGGGATTTTTGGTTTAACGGCGGTACGCTCGAGCAGCCCTCTCGGAACACGCGTGTCGCTCGTCCCCGTCGGGATCCGCTTGCGATGTAAATCTTTCGGGCGATGAGACCGGTCCCCGGCGGAAAACGAGTTGCGCCCAGCGTGGCAGGGCTGGAGCCTTCCTCTAAAATAAGAGAAAACTTTTCCGCGGTACCGCTCGTTGCGCCGCGGTTCTACCCGCTCTGCCGTGTCCCCGCGGGAGCCTGGCGAGGTGACAAGGGTTAGGCTGACGGGCCGGCTTTGTCTCTTCCCGCAGGAAGAGCCGAGATTTGGAACGACTCCCCTGGCCATGCTGGCCGCCACCTGCAACAAGATCGGCAACACTAGTCCCCTGACCACCCTGCCCGAGTCTAGCGCCTTCGCCAAAGGGGGCTTCCACCCGTGGAAACGCTCCACCTCCAGCTGCAACCTGGGCTCCAGCCTCTCGGGCTTCACGGTGGCCACGAGCAGGGGTTCCAACGGACTGGCCAGCGGCACGGGCACCGCCAATAGCGCCTTTTGCCTGGCTTCCACCTCGCCCACTTCCTCGGCCTTCAGCAGCGACTACGGCGGCCTCTTCTCCAACTCGGCGGCGGCGGCGGGCGTGTCCCCGCAGGAGCCCGGCGGGCAGTCGGCCTTCATCTCCAAAGTGCACAGCTCGGCGGCCGAGAGCCTCTACCCGCGGGTGGGCATGGCGCACCCCTACGAGTCCTGGTACAAGTCAGGCTTCCACTCCACGCTCTCGGCGGGCGAGGTGGCCAACGGAGCGGCCTCCTCCTGGTGGGATGTGCACACCAACCCGGGCTCCTGGCTTGAGGTGCAGAACCCGGCGGGGGGGCTGCAGAGCTCGCTGCACTCGGGCGCCCCCCAGGCCTCGTTGCACTCCCAACTGGGCACCTACAACCCCGACTTCAGCTCCCTCACCCACTCCGCCTTCAGCTCCACCGGCCTGGGCTCCACGGCCGCCTCGCACCTGCTCTCCACCAGCCAGCACCTGCTCACCCAGGAGGGCTTCAAGCCCGTGCTGCCCTCCTACACGGACTCTAGCGCGGCGGTGGCGGCGGCCAGCGCCATGATCTCGGGCGCCGCCGCCGCCGCCGCCGGGGGCGGCTCGGCCCGCTGGGCGAGAAGCGCTTCGCCTGTCCCGTCTGCAACAAGCGCTTCATGCGCAGCGACCACCTGAGCAAACACATCAAAACGCACAACGGGGGCGGCGGGGGCAAAAAGGGCAGCGACAGCGACACGGACGCCAGCAACCTGGAAACGCCGCGCTCCGAGTCCCCCGACCTCATCCTGCACGAGGGGGTGGGCGCCGCCGCCCGCGGACCGGGCAAGGAACCTACCGCGGGGCCCGGCGACTCCTAGGGGCAGCGCCGCCGGAGCCGCTCGGACTGTGCCCCGCGCCGGCCGGAGGGACGCGAGCCGCCCCGCCGCCGACGGCGTTCCGGGCCGCAGCGGGGGCGGGCCGGTGGACGGCGGGGCCGGAGGGGCGCGGCCCCCGTCCCGCCCGGCCAGTAAGTACCGAGTGACACTTTCTTCCGTTTCCCTTTTTCTCTTGGAAGGCAAGCATCCTAAGAGAGGCTTAAGGTGAGAAATACAGCTGCAACTCTGAGACGGTCCCTCTGTATCCCATAAACATCTGTATAAATAGGGTTCAAAAAAGAAGAAAAACAGAAAAAAAAAAAAAAAAAGGAAAACCAGATCGTGTTCCCTTATTTTTCTTGTAAATGTTGATCTGATAGGGGGGTTGGGGATTTTTTTTTTAATTGGTGAATTCCTGAAATTCAGGGAGGTTTTGGGGTTTTGATTTTTTTTTTTTAATTATAAATTTCTGATGCACTTTGTGGAAGTCAGTATATATGTAAAAGATATTTAAAATGTTGAGTTAACACTTCACTCAAATACACGTAAGTTAAGGTCTCTTAAAGAAATTAAATGCGTTTATCTGTATGGAAAAAAATCTTGACATATTTTCATTTTGGTATTATTAAAGGACTCTGAACAATATACTCACGGGTTTGTTCTTCTTCGTGTCCCCTCCTTCCCCCCCGCCCAGTCCTCGCAGGGGTCACTTTTTGAGTAGGAGCTCTCGCACCCCTTTCCATCGTCCTTACAGTCACTGTGATTAAAAATACAGTCAGCAATGATATAGCTGGGAGGGGATGGGACCGGCCCCTGAGCCAGGCGCAGTGAACCACTTCGCTCGCTCTTTTCAAGCCGCCTTTGCTTTGATTTACTTTAAAAAACCAAAACAAAACAAAAAACCAACAAATTTTAACTGAGTCCGAGCCCTGCTATTGCCGGAAACCATGCTGAGACCTAAGTGGCTTTGGTGAAAGCGTCCCCAAAATCGAGTGAAGGCAAACTGCGCTGAGGAACTATTTATTTAATTTTAAAAGCCTTCAGCGCCACAAGGCTGCCTAGGCTGGGAGGTGATCTCGGGGGAATAAATCGCTAGAGTCAATACTCCGGAAAAGACATTTCATGCCTAAATGAAAATCTTGTTAAATGTTATTAATTTTGACTTAGAGCACACAGCAGCCCCCTGTGCCTTGTATTCCCTTATTAGGGATTCATGTCTTATCAAATATCTAATTAATCTCCTAGACATCATTTGTTCTGGCCAACTTTATCTCAGCTGGTCCGCGGGGAAAACTCCGAATATTCTCGGTGACAAAGCTCCCTTGAAGATCCTTTTAATTGTCCAAATTAACTGCACCAAATTTGCATGTCAAACGGTAAAGGGCAACCTAAGATAAAATGTAAACGTTTTAAAAGCCCCAAACTAAGCACTTGATTTGATAACTAGGCTTTTTAATGTTATGGAAGACAACTGCTCCTTTCCTTTTCAAAGACAGTTGATCTATGCAAATAGTGAATTGGAAATGCTTATGTCCCCATGCAGTCAAATGGTCCTTGCATGTTATTTGAATATCAGTGGCTTTGCTATTGAAAAGGTTCAAGGATGCTCTCTGACTTCTTTGTGATTACTCAGTGCAGCGTCTTATTCTGAAGAAAAAAAACTCAGGAATAATTAAAGGCTGGGCTAAGGCCTGGGAACACATTTGGGACAGGAATCTCATTTAGACAGGCTCTTTCAAAATAAGGCACAGTTAAATTGACCAGAAGGCAATTATTGAAATGAAAATTATTTTCACTCCCTTTGTCTCCTGACCACCAACCTAACAGCCACAGTATTTTTTAAAGGCAAATTGTTAAATGAGATAATTGTGTTATTAAAAAAAAAATAAAAAAGAGGGTGAGGAAAAAAAAAAAGTTAATTTACTCTGGCCGGTACAGATTGGATGAATACAAATATTTTAATCCTCCATAAAACGGGGAATGCAAATAACATCGAGAAACGGATTCTGCTGTCGGCCACCAACTGGAATAAAGACGTTGCGTTAAAGAAAATACATCTGCCGTGAATACTAATAACCGCGTCCCACCTCCTCCGCGCCACTGTTGCACAAAAGCGGCCGGGCAGCGCCGACACCGCCTGTGCCCTGCGGCGGCGGCGGGAGCCCGGCGGGCCGATCCGCGGGCCGGGGGACAGGAGCCTCCCGGGAGAGGCACCTCGCATCACAGCTGCCGACAGCACCTTCCCCGAGAGCCGCTCCGGAATTTTCCTGGCCAAAAGCATCCCGGCAAGGTGTCTTTCCTGCCGGGTGCCGGCAGGTTTCCCGGAGGGCAGGGGAGGGGAGCGGGCGCGGGGGACGCGCTCGGGCGGCGGTAACACACAGAGCCGGCGCTCCTCCCTGCCGGGCGGCCTGGGGGCTGCGCAGGAATGCACCCGCGCGGGCTGCTGGGCAGAAGTCAGCTTTGTTTTCGATTTATAATAAAACACATCAAAGGACACCAGGCAGGTCCAGTTTCTGCCAGGCCGGGGTTACAATTCTCAGCTCAGTGATCAAGGACCTTTTTGCATTGCCTTTGCCCCTTCGGGTCAGAAAACGTCCATCACTTACAGACTCCCCAGAAACGAGGAAGGGAGCAGCTCTGGGCCGCAGAGCCGGTTCGTTTAACCAAGAAAATAGAAAGCGTGTCACCTTTTTAAAAAATAAATGACACCATTCATTCGTAAATGTTGGAGATAATTATATGGTCTGGGGAACTTCTACACCAAAAAAAAAAAAACCCCAAAAAAAAAAAAAAAAAAAAACCCAAAAAAAAAAAAAACCCACAAAAAAACAAAACAAAAAACCCAAAAAAAAAAAAAACCCACAAAAAAACAAAACAAAAAACCCAAAAAAAAAAAAAACCCACAAAAAAAACCCAACCAAACCCCCCCCCCCCAAAAAAAAACCCCAAAAAACCCAAAAAACCCCTAAAGAACAAACGGTGTGAGAACCCGAAAAATATATCTGATTTTGGTCTCTGAATTCGTAGTTCGCCTCTTTAGTAAGAGGACGCCAACCCGAGAGCGGGAGAGCAGCGGGAACAAGAAGGGTGCCCTCTGGGGCCCCGGCGGGAAGGGTGGCACAGGAGAAGCCGGGCTCCCCGCCTTGGCCCCGCTCGCCCCGGGCTTGCCCGTGAGCTGAGCCTAGCTCCCATTTACAATCCCGGTCCAGCTACTGCTGCCCATTTCCACACCTCGCGGGCAGCAATTCCAACCCTGCTCCGAGACCCCGTTAAAACACGACAAACGAGCAGCCAGCGACGGCAACCACCACAGACGGGAGAAGGTAAAATGTCAGGAAAAATTATCCACTAAATGACATTCGATCGCTAGGTCCCCCGTTCGCAGGAAGCGTGTCCCTTGCCCCCCGCGGCGAGTTACAGACCCAACGGCTCGTTTTACACTTAAAAGGTAACATTAATGTTTTTGTTCTAATGAGATAATATATAAACACCCGATCTCGTGCCTGGACAGCCTCTTAATTGCGTCTTTTAATTCAAATGGAAACTTTATCTGCGGGAGCTGTAATTTATTTGCAGCCATTATCTGTTCGCCAGGATCCTCTCCCACCCTTCCAAAACGCAGATGAAGGGAAGCTAACAGACAGCCCGCCCCTTTGAGTAATTGCTGTGCTAAGTGTTTATTTTAAGTGAGAATAATTTAGCTACAAATTTCCTCAAGGAATAACATCCTTCGCACATTACAAAAAGGAGAGCAGGAACAAGACCGAGCGCGCACACCGGGACGCCCGCGGCGCTGCCCCGCGCGGGGCCGCACGGCGGCGGCCGGGCGCCACCTAGAGGCGCTCCCGCGGGCGGGCCCCGGGCGCGGCTCTGCCGCCGCCGCCGCCTCGGCGCCGCTGTTGTTCCACAAACGAGCGGCAGCGCTGCTCCCGAGATGGGCTAATTGGTACCTGGCTGGCAGGGCGCGGGGTCCCTGTCCGCTCCCCGGCACAAAGTAGGCTGCTAGAAAATTTGAAATTGCCTTTCAGCCTAAAGCTGCCTCACCTGAATGTCATAATTACAGTAATTATGTACATCCAAATTACATGCTAATTAAATTAGAATCAAATCGTTCTAAATCGAAATCAAATGAGGTAGCGAGAATTAATCAATGACAACATAAATAGAGAGCTTCCTTCAGGGGTATTTATTGTACCGATCCGAGCAGGAGCCCCATCTGGGAGTAACCCGTCTATTTACTTTCAGAGTAGCAATAATTTATTGCTCGGCGTTAATTCTAAGCCAAGGGTCCGGCGAGGCGGCACACACGAAAAGCGGCCCGGGACCCCTCGCCCGAAGCTCCCCGCCGCCAGGCCGGAGCCCAGAGCCGCCCGACGGCCCCGGCGGGCCTGGAGCCAGCTCGCCCCGTCCCGACGCAGCCCCAAGCGCTCGGGCCAAGCCGCAGAAGAGCTCCCAGCAGAGCCGCCCACCAGCCCCAGGAGAGCCGCCGGGCCCCGCTCCGACGCCGGGGAGTCCCTGCCACGGGTCCTGCCCTCCCGGCCAGGCTGAGGGAACCACCTCACGGCGCCGCGGCCCCCGCCGCCCTGCCCCGCAGAACGTTAACCCTATTCCGCGGTTCTTACGAAAATAAATAAATAAATAAATAAGGGAATAACGATATCGCTGGAGCTGCTCTTACCTCCATCCGCGGAGCGACAGCACCTCCTGCCGGGCCCCGCCGGCTCTGCCGAGCGCCTCGCGCGGCCCGGGGCGGTGGCGCCCCATAGCCCGGCGGGCCGGGGCGGGGCCCGGCCCCCGTGCAGGCCCGCTCCCGGAGCGCTCCGGACGGGACCCCTGCGGCGAGGGCGGCCCCACCCTGCCGCAGCCGGCCTCTGGGCCCCCGAGGGTCCCTTCCGTACCGGTGCGGGGACACAAAGTGGCCTAGGGAAGGTACCGGGAGTGAGACACTCCTGCACAGCCACATCAAGCTTCCCCTGGTAGTCTAAGACAGATACATCCAAAAT